TAGCGCAGAACGATCTACTGAAAGAGTACTATCGAATGATGCCCACGGCAGTCTCCTATGTATGATGATCGTTGCGTTACACCCATGCGAAGAGGCGTCCGCATGCAAATTCAAAATTATTGAAAATAGGATATTGGAGACATTCTGTATAGCAAGAGATTCGCCTTGACGAGCTAAATACAAGGCTGTTTTCGGATTTTGAACATACTCATTCGAAAAGAAGTTATGGCCCTGCGTAATTTGCGTGATTTACATGAATTTCGCGAAATTCCGGGAATGTCGCGGAATTCCCGGAATTTCGCAAACCTTCGCGGAATTTCCGGAATTCTGCGACATTCACGGAAATTTTGCACATTCTGTGAGCGGTATTGTACATTCGTGTATATTTGCGAAACTTTTTAGGTTTTTCCATCATGGACGGATTCCGAGGCCAAGAATCTCTTTTTAAAATTAGGTGAGCAATTGTTTACTCAATGTCCACGAGGTAGGCAAAACTTCCTTTCGAATAAGTTTCCAAAACTTCTACGTCTAATCTATTTACACCTAAAGTTTTAGCATAAATTAACATTTTGATTCCAAAACTCCTCCTCTCTTCTTTGTTAGGATTCGGAATAGCAACGACAGCGGTCCTTCTGAGGAAGTAAACGCGCTACCATAACTATGCTATGAATTATAATTGTATGCTGAAATCAGCTTCACGGTGTCTAGGAACCGCAGGCATTACCATCCCTGCCGGAGAGAGAATCGCAGTCACGCTGTTTACCTACTCCAATGGCGTACCGAGAAGGAGCGGAGGGGGGGGGGCTCACGAGAACGAGTCGCGAATTTTTTGAAAGTTACTCAAATGTGTTATAAAAATGTGCAAGTGACTTGTGTTTACTTGTAGATATTTACAACAACTTTTGAAAATTTTTAAAAAATTTAAATTCGCATCAAATTCCTTGGAAAAAGAGGGGGGGGGGGGTGGCTGCTGCCACTCCCCCTTTTCCTGAAATTTCCGGGTCAGGGCTCGAAAAAATCTTGGGAAGCATCCCAAAAAATTTTCGGAGTGCGTGGCTAACGCCACGCACCTTCATCCAAGAAAATTTTTTGTCCCTACCCCCGAAAGGAAGTCCTGGAGACGCCACTGACCTATTCGTAAGTATTTCCAGCATCTTTCAAACATATTGAACAGGAGCGAGAAGCTGTACAAGCAGCATATTCCAGCTTTTTGTATAATTCCCTGATGATCCCGAGCGGCCGACCGTCTTTTCTTTGAAGTTATTTCCTCTCTTCGACGTTAACGATAACATTCTAAAGCTATGCCGATTATCCAACCCAGCAGTGCTAAGCATGTTGCTGATAAGAACAAAGATGTTTTGGTGTCATGAAGTTTGCGATGAACCACAAGTCGAAAGATGGGGTTTATCGAAAAATTCGATAATTCAGAAACTCATTTGTTCTTATCACCAACGTGCTCAGCACTGTTGAGTTAAATAATCCGTACCACTATTTATACCACTGCACTAATAAAAGGCTTCACCAAACCTCGTATTGGCATAACAAGATTAACATTATAAATACGACATGCCGAGGTTTCAAGAAAAGAGGACAACCAAACTACTATTTGGAAGGTTTTCGTAAACTTCGAAGAAGGAAAGTGGCTTTGAAGGAAAGACGGCCAGGACGGTCATCGGGGATCATACAAAATGTTGGAAAATGCGGCTTGTACAGCTCTTGCTCCTGTTCAATATGTTTATAGTGAAGGATGGTAAGAATACCTGATGATGAGTTATACGGCGTGAAATCCTGATATTTGGAGCTTCAGAGTATGGAGCTTTCTTTTGAGCTGCGATCCTCTCTCCGGCGGGGATGTTAATGCGTGCGGCCCTGAAAGGAGGCGAAAGACATCAAGGCCAGTGCAGTGACGAACCTCGGAGGGCGCGGTCTCCCCAGAATAGGTCGTGAAATTTTGGAAGCTACTTACACAAGCCGTAAAAATCTACAGTAGATTCGCTCATACTTACAAATAATTAAATAATAATTCTAAATAATATATCAGTCCCTAAAATCAAATCTAATACATAAAGAATTGTTAGCTCAGTTCAAAAATCTTCCAATAGCGGGAAACCTCAGCGGGTCTCGAAGCAAACGCTCTTGCAAATAGCACCTTTGAATTGCTGGTTCACTAGTATAACAAACAAATAAATAAACTTGTAAATATTAAGTTGGACCGAAAGTCGTTCGCACCAGTTTCAAAAATTCATAATGACTGGTTTTCAAAACGATTTGCATGTTTCTATTTTTATCTGAAAGAGCAATTCATTCTCTTGATAGCGGTATCTTAGCGGTGTTCTAATGAGCTGAGAAAAAATTACTGAAAATTTCGATTCTGTGTTGGGTCATAAAAAATGAAGGCATGCAGTTAAAATCGGAGCAGTCGGTATTATAGATTCTACTAGCTGGCTTACCAGGCTCCGCTCGGCCCTGTCAAAACACTATAAAAAGCTCTCATCCCTATCTCAGTACAACCTTCCGCTGTGCCCACTTCAACATGCAATTCCCTATTTCCGCTGTGTTAGTAATCAGTATGCTCACCTAACTTCGTCACTAACCTCCACCTCCGTAGCTCAGACTTTGCAAAAAACCAATAAATTCGATAAAAGTAAGGTTAATTCTAAAAACTGATGGCACTATTTGACTATCCGGCCCCCAAAATGTTTTTGTGACGGATCCTGCTCAAACTCGGTATGTGGGGGTTATTTAAGCCGCTGATGACAAATATCATAGTTATCGTGTGGCAGCGGCTAAAAATCATGAACCTAGCTGAAACCATGGCAGGGAATTACCTAAAGTGCTGTTTCAAGAATAACGTGCTCAATCCCCACGATGAAGGCAATTTGTGTGGTATAAAAGTTTTCCACGACCGTAATGCTTTCCTTATAGGACCACTGCCGCGCGCCAACCCTTCGGCGGCTTTTGCCTAAGCAAAAACAGGGGGAGGGAGATTTGCTGCGTGCGATACACCCTTCGGCGGCTTTTGCCTAAAAAAATGGGGGAGGGAGATTTGCAGCGTGCTTTACGCGTTGGGACAGGTCATCAGGATGGCGCTGGAGACTGCCATGCAAAGCGTCGTTTCCCCATTTTGTGAGTATATCGGGTCCAAATTGGCCCGAAAGTGAAGAAATGTCTATCGAAAGTGAAAAAATGTCCATTTAAACCCTGCAACTCACCATAACTTCACAATAATGCGTTATGACAGCGAGCAAGCATCATATTCATAAGCAGTATGCTTGTGAACCGTTACAGGTAAGGTTTTGAGCAAATCTGGAACTCCGACCCATCTACTGTACACCCACCGTAACCCAAGAAAATCGCTATTTTGCGAAATCAGCATGACATTCATGTTCAGCGCGCTATATGACCACCCTAGACAAAGCTTAAAGCAAATCTATGTTTTCGATCCCATACCGTATAACCACCATAACTCTATCAAAAAGTCCCAATATGCAGAGAGAGTATGAAATTAGTAATAAGCATGTCGAGTAAGTCCTCTAGACTGAACTCCAGCCGATTTCATGTTTTTGACTTCTTACCATACACCTATCGTAACCACACGGGTAGACGTCCTGCGGAGAAAATGTGATATCTGTAATCAGCATGTAAGGTAACCCTTATACACGAAGTCTGAGCAAGCTCTACGGCAAAAAAATTGGGGCCCGGATAGCCGAATAGCGCCAAACTAATAATGTACTCGTAATCAGCATGCTCGATTACCCCCTGTGCCAACTCTCAGCCCTGTAGGTGAACTCTGCAAAAAATCGATAAAATTGATAAAATCGACATCGATCGATAACGAAGAGTGGCCTATGACACCCGCCGGGGCCCGAAGTGTATGTGTGCCAAGTTTGGTCCGGATCGGTTCAGAAATGGAATTTTCTATTCGGAAGATACGTACACACAGACAGACAGACCTACACACAGACATACAGACATACAAACAGACATTCAGCTTTATATATGAGATTACCAGCTCCTTCCAGCTGTGTAAAGTTTGTGCTGACTGAGCGTCTCCATGAAAAGTTATGATTTTCGAGAAAAATGCCAAAATTCGTAATTAAATCTGTCAAATTCGCCCTTTTGTATTGCTTGCTCGAAAATCATAACTTTTCGTTGAGCCTCAACCAGCACAAATTTTGCACAGTTACGAGTTGGTAATAGAACTATAATAGGACTGCTTCGATTTTTGCTGCAGGTTTCAGACTTTTTATGACCCTACACAGGAAATCGAAAATTTGAGTGATTTCTTCTCAATGTATGCTCATTAGAACACCGCTAAGACACTGCTATGAAAAGAATGAATTGCTCTTTCAGATGAAGATAGAAACATGCAAATCCGTTTTGAAAACCAGAAGTTGTGAATTTTTCAAATTGATGCGAACGAACTTTCGATCCAAACTAATAATCAGAACTAAATAATGATTTTTGTAAAAAATCAGACATTTCAGAATTATAGGCACGCAAAAAAGAATTTATTTCCGCCACGCGGCAGAGAGATAATGACCATCACACAGTGTAGACGTTTCTGGAACACTCCCCAGGCTGAAGTATATATATATTGATTTCTACGAAAAGTGCTTGAACTTTGCTCTCTCTTCGTAAATTTCAAGAGGACTGCTGGACGATAGTTGCGTGGTAAATCCATGGTAAATCCATTCTTGGATTTACCACTCAACTTCTTTCTCATATTCACCTCCTGCTGGGTCAAGGCCCAGCAGGAGGTGACAACCCTGCTCTTTTGACAATGTGTGCAATGCGGTCTCGCGTCTCCTAGTCATAGAGTGAATGATATCTAGAGAGCAAGAAAAAATCCTCATCGGCGGAGAAAGTGAAAGGTTAAAAATTTTACAACAAACGATGACACTCATGCCACATAAGCTCAATAATTCTCTAATTTTTTTGTTACTACATCATACTTTTTCTCCAAATTTTCAAAATCTTGAGAAAATGATAATATGTATTCAGATTAGGGAATTTTGCTGGCCAGTTTCGAAACCCACTTTTTGCTGTCAATATTGCTGATGTGATTTTTCTGAGTCATCAGTCTTGATGGCGTTGAATCTAATCAGCTATGTTCTGCACTCGCAGTGATATCATGACGCATTTCTTAACTCGGCGCCCTTCTGAACAGTTCTCCGTCGACGTTCTTCATCATGATGCGACTGTTTCGCACGACCGATACAACGAAACACTGTGGAGTGAACACAAAGGTTATTCAAATCACTTTTTGTGTTGCATATTTCCACCTTCTGTGCCCGTGTAGCAAAACTAACGTTGCATTTTTTAGATAGCATGTATCGTGCTGGGCATTTTGGTGACTGCAATGCAGATATATTGCTATTTATTTCTGCCTATTATCCCAGGTCAGTTATACATATGTATTCAGCTTTATCAATAGCTTTATTTGTTCATGTTAGCCCATGGAAGTTTAATTTTTAGGTAGGTCCCAGAGTATGCGAATATTTTCAGGTTGGGGTCCCGCGCAGAATTGACGTCACTTGGATTGACGCCGACGTGAGTGACGTCCATTCTGCGCGGGACCCCAACCCGAACAAAATATTCGCTTACTCTGACACCTACCTCATGAAGGAAAAGTAGCTGTAATGTATGTGCGGATCCCATCTGCTCAATCTATTTGGTCGAAAGCAAAAAAGGTTCACTGATATACACAGTGTCCCAAAAGATGTATATACTGTTTGATCGTTGATATTTCTAACTATAAAACCATAAGGTTTGCCTACCTTCGAGTACCTTGTAGAGCTGAACTCAACTTAGAGTTATAGTCATAGTATGGAGCAATTTACGCTCGATTAATGCAGGATTGTGAAAGGATTTTGAAGAGGGTTTTGAGCTATTCAGGTGCATATTTCTTCAAGCAGAAGAACCACTCAAAAATTCTCACGCACGGTAATCTGAGTCGCTGACTTCAAATTTTTTTAGAGCACTTCACCCAGTGCTACTCCAAGTTACCGCCAGTGTAAAAGTTTCTTCGATGATACTATAAAACGTGATCACGGTTTAAAAGCTGGAAACTTGTAGCAAGTTGTGTGGCGATACCAATATGTGTGAAAGCACTACTGCACTATTTCCCAGATTATTTGAAAATTCTCTTTCAATAGCCTTCGCAATGCGTTGCATATTAGAAGTTTGTATCGTAGTCCTACAGTATTTAAGTGCAATTTCAATCATTTCATTCCATTCATACGCTCGAGGCGTTCCAAATCAAAAACGTCAAAGTATTAGTCATGTGAAAACATAAAATAATCACCACGTCATCCCAAGCCCCGTCTAGGCGACTATATAAAGAAATAGTATAGCGATAGTGTAAATAGCTTGCATAACATATTTTGGAGATGCACGAAATCTCGCGCTTGCATGAACTCTATGGAGACGTACCCATGCCCCCGCGTTTGCCAGCAAGGAACGATCTACATATATGTATTCGTAAAAGCAAGCCGGAAGTTCAGCTGGCGTGTATACTGGCAAGCCCCGCCCAACACGGCTTGCTGGGGAGGATTCGGAGCTCCGACGATGATTAGGAATTTTGCAAATTAAGCAAGCGAAATCGCCTTATAGAAAATCTGAATTGGAGTCAAAATGGTGCATAATCGGCAAAACTTCTTCTACGAAAGAGCGTCAACTTTTGTATGTTCAACTTTATCATGTATGTTCAACTTTATCCGAGTCTAATTTGAGAGCTTCCAACATCGTGCAGCACATGGGTGCCGTGATAAAGATTTCATTGCTTCATCACAAGTTTAAACAGTGAAATCCCTCACATAGATGCCTTGTAATAAATTCTTATGAGTTTGGTTGTACTCTTTTATCACTCTCACTTGATCTTATTGCTCACTAGGCTGTATACAGAATGAGCTGTTGTTGTCCAAGAACTTTACAGCCATATTTTTGAAAATCGTTCTCTCCTTCTTACTTATGAAAGTAATCAGTGTCTGTTCGTCTGTCTTTTAACGTATGCCAAAGATCTACAGTTCTCTACAGATCTATATATCTACAGTTCTACATAATACGATCGATTTTATCAGTTTCTTGCAACTTTTGAACTGAGAGCTGGAACTTGATACGAAAAATCATCAGTTTCTATTTTAGGATTTGTCGGTAAGGTTTTGAAGGAGGTGGGAACTTAGTATAGGGGTAAGTGAGCGTTACGAGCACGAGAACGTACAGGGGAAAAGGAGAAGGACAAAAGTGTTGCGAGCTTCATGCAAAATAAGGTGGGAACATAGAACTGTTGCGCCAGTGGAAAGCTATTAAATTCTTCATTTTTCACGGTACTCAGATAATCGCCGGGGGCAAGCGGCCATGCGAATTTTGAGCAAGCGGGCACCGGAAAAATAGTTCGCTGATTTTTTGTGGTCCGCTTGCAGAAATTTGGAATAATTTTGGCCAATTTTTAGACGAACGCTCGAAGATCTACCGCGGTTTTTCTATACATAAGTTGCGGCACAGTGGCCGCATTCTCGCGGATTTTCCGCGAGAACATGCAAAATTATTGAGAGCCGCACGGTCCTTTTTGAAGGACCGCACAGCCCTCAGGTACTTTCCGCTGAAGGAAAGTACCCCAAACTTGGGTAATAAAACCATCGATGGCACCTCTGCCACATAGAGTCTCATCTTTTCTCGGCGTACGCCCGAAACTGCGTAAAAAGAGTCTGAGCGCCTGCTGAAAGTTTGGCCAGCGCTCGCTGAAAGAGATTGTTTGACGAGCGTTTGCAGAAAATTTTGTATTGATGCCCGCTTGCAGAAAACGCAAATACCGCCCGCTGAGGATTTGGCCACGCCCCGAAATCCTGCTGACCGCCTGCAGAAAAGCGCGAGTTTGCGGACCGCCTGCCCCCGGCGATTATCTGAGTAGACGCATCAAAGTTTGAGCCCATGTATAACGATGTCCTAGAAATAAAGGAATTATTTGAGGCAACGTCCACCCTAAGTTGTGTTCCTGAGCTTTCGGAAGCATAAGATAGCAAGGCCCCCTATCAATCCAATGCTCAAGTCGCGGCGCAAAATGCCGATTCGGAAGCGAGAAAATCGCTTCGGAATAGCGAAGATGCACGAGGACCCCCAACCATGCCCGCCCTTTCCCATCCATGCCCGCCCATTTGTGCGCGTCCACCCAGTCACCGTTCCGGAAAGCCGGCCTGTGGGTTTTTTGGAACGGGGGTTGTCGGGGTTTTCGCGCATTCTCGACTTCATGTTCGGAATCAGGGACATGAGCAGGCCCTGAAACCAGAGGTGCGATAGTGGGAGCCAAGTCTCCCCCTACCTTCACTTTTGAGCTGGTACAGGGTGACCACCTTCACTTTTGAAATGAAAAATTTTTCGCTGGACGATAAAGAAGGAAAATAAGAAAAACAAACGCAAAAAAAATTATTAAAGGATATATTTATGTATACGGCGGCATATATATATTTAAAATAAACGTGTTCAGTAAATTATTTGGAAGTAAGACTTAGCGAAACTGTACGGATTTTATTAAGCAAAATGTGTTATGACGTACAGCGAAGAAAGTAAATCGGTCCAGGGAATAACCGCCGAGAACCGAATTTTGAATAATAAAGTAGCGAAAAATCGTGCGAAATTTCCCTGTTATAAATCTGTAGTTTGAAGATGTCAGCAGTTGCGACTTCATAGATTTTGAAGAGTAAATGATGCTCTATCAGCTAGTGAAAGAATCGAGTGGATTTGAGAGATAGTCATTGAAAACCAGAATTCTAAAAATTTACGCCATTTTTGCGTGTTTTGACAGTGACAAAACTCATATAAATCTTGCATGTGAGAGTGTGTGATGTTGCGACTTCATAGCTTTTATAGAGTAAAGTTTGTCTTATCAGGATATATCTTAGCCGTTCCGATCCACTGAAACATCTCCGATATCCAGAGTCTTGAAAAAGTCATTGAAAACCAGAAAGGTAAAAAAGCGCTTTTTGAACTTCAACAGCTCATAACTTCTTCAGAACTGCATGAATCATGTTGCAACTTCATAGGTTAGATTCTAATCATCAAGAGCTTTCAGGTGATATATAATATGTGGGGGTTTTCCTCGTACGAATTATGCCCTGAGTGGGGGAAGCCTTTTCATACCAGAGTCTCCCCGTAGCCCACTTTAATGTATTGAAGGGGGGAGACTTTGGGATGAAAAGGCTCCCCCCCCCCGGGCATAATTCGTAGGAGGCCCCCCCCCTAAACCCCCACATATTATATATCATCTGAAAGCTCCTGATGAGTAGAATCTAAGCTATGATGTAGCAACATGATTCATGCAGTTGTGAAGAAATTATCAGCTGTTGAAGTTCAAAAAGCGCTTTTTTAACTGCTTCAAGACTCTGGATCTCGGAGGTGTTTCAATGGATCGGAACGGCTAAGATATATCCTGATAAGACAAACCTTACTCTATGAAAGCTATGAAGTCGCAACATCACACACTCTCACATGCAAGATTTATATGAGTTTAGCTGTTACTGTCAAAAAACACGCAAAATGGCGTAAACTTTAGAATTCTGGTTTTCAATGACTATCTCTCAAATCCACTCGATTCTTTCACTAGCTGATAGAGCACCATTTACTCTTCAAAACTTATAAAGTCGCAACTGCTGACATCTTCAAACAACAGATTTATAACAGTGGAAATTTTGCATGATTTTTCACTATTTAATCATTCAAAATTCTGGTTCTCGGCCGTTACTGCCTGGATCGATCTACTTTCTTCGCTGTACGTTATAACAAAATTAGCTTAATAAAATCCGTACAATTTCGCTAAGTTTTACTCCCAAATACACCATTTACTGAAACGTTTATTCGATCCCTTTTGCATTTGTTTTCTAATTTTCCGCGCATTGGCGGCAACAACCTGGAAGGATAGACGTTAATGCTCCCCCCCCCCGGTCGACGTTTTACGTTCTTGGGAGAAGAGTGTCCGGCACTACCACCTTCACTTTTGGCCGGCCAGTGGTAGCTGGGACCACCTTCACTTTTGGAGGGCGCGGCTCCCCCCATCGCACCTCTGCCTGAAACGACAAAAACGTGGAAGTCGAAAGTCTGGGTGGACGGTGCCTTTAAGGTGTCTCATATTTTTTTTACCGTTTTTACCCTAAACATCAGCATTTCTCGAGAACTGGGGCACCTACAATGGATACAAATACATGACCGTACTTCTGTATGTATGAGCCACATGATCGCATGCGTGGGAGGAGCTCAGGACGTCTAGGGGCTGAGTTTGCCATTTTACGTCATTCATTTTTTTTCTTGATTTCCAGCTGTGGACAAAATTCGGATAATGTGCAATCGAATGTGCGATGTGTGTATATGCTAGAATAAATGGGGAATTTTTTTTAGATATTTTGGCGCGGAGATACGATTTTTGACAGAAAGGTTCGTCGACTACTATCAGATTTCAGCCTGTAACTTCACGTGGGATGCGGACAGACTTCTTATAGCCACCTTGTAGAGCTTGATTTGCCCTGGCGAATGGTTTCTCAAGCCACATCAAATGAAGGAAGGACACAAAAAGATGGCCGTTGTAGTAAAAATGGTAAAAAAATTATGAGACAACCTAATACGAATTTCCAAATTTGAGTGCAGCACTATTGGTGTGACGGAAGCTTATGGGATACATTCTTCCCATGGTCCTCTGTACATTTTGAGAAATTTGTCCAAACAGCGCGGTTTATAAAGCGATTGATACGTTTGCAGCGCTTCGTCAAATATATATATTTCAGGTTTGACACTGTCTGGAATTGCTGCGCTTTTATTTTTCGTACTTCTCGTAGCTTGCGTGAAGATGCTGCCATCACTTCTTGTTGTCTTCATGATCCTCAACGTAGGAAACTCCCTTATATTGAGATTTTATGCAAAAGGCCCAATAATAGCCACTATATTCAGATGCTCATGAGTTTACCTGTTGCGGTCGTGATATATTTTCTATCTCACACCTTGACTTCTTATGGTTTCTACTACCACATTTGCGATGACTACAAGTGCTCTTTATATGGCTTATGTGAGTCTATGATATACATGAGATTGTACATCACCAAACTTCGATTTTTTAGCTACGGGTTTCCTTTGGTCTGGCCTTATCGTTGCTTTTATCAGCTGCATACTGAATGGAGTGCTGACTGCAGGTGTTCAAAAACTTCGACTATTAAGTCAAGGCGTTAGAACTGTTATGTGAGTTGATAAATTAAATGTGGTACTCACCCAGACCAAAAAGCCTGTTGAGAATAATAGATTGGCTCAAAATTAATTTGGTCCCTTCGCCGGAAAGAATGCTAGGAATGTCACAGGCAAATTCCCGAACAACAGATATAGACTCGGTTTATGTATAGATTATCTTCTGATGACGAAATGTCCCAGAAATATTGACTACTCATGTTTTTTCAAGCTTTGGAGCAAATATCAGGTTGATGCACAATTTTACACCAAAAATAAAAGGAAGTTTGAAAAAGCTTAAACAAACCAAATAATTTACAGAATATGCTCTTCGTTATCTATATCAACGGTAGCTATTTATAGTACATTTTAGAAAATTATATGAAACAAAATCAATAGGTCAATTTCAAAAAATCTAATTTCGTAAATATTCGACATCCATCGCTACCAATCTCTCTTAGACAAAAAAGGTATGTCATAAAACGAAGACCAAAAATTAATGTAAATCTTAGTAGATGTTTTAGCAATCTTAGTGACGAAATCGAAAAATTACTTTTTGAGTTTTTCTCTCAATCAGGTTATAGCGTTGCCATATGCCTTCAAGGAATTTTGAATCGAGCACTTTTAGAAAGCGAAAAATTTTCTCTCTCTACTCTCTATCAAATCAGAAGAATTGAGGCTGAAAAAAGTAACAGAATTTTAAAAACTTTGGAGCAAGAATTATGCATCAACTCAAAGGCAGCGTCCAGGCAAATCTGAACATACGGTGTTGTGATGTGGAAAGTAATTTTGGGGCCCTAACTAAGACACTGCCCAAGCGGCAGCTCAAATGGTAAACTCACAGTTGAGATACTCGCATCCAAACTGGACTTCGGGGCGCGACACGCCTGGGTCTTCGCGCGAGACCGATGTGTCACGCCATGAATCCATGCGAATACGATCCCGGGGTTCAGTTTGGAGGCGAATATCTCAACTGTGAGCTCACCATTTGAGCTGCCGCTTGGGAAGTGTTTTAATTAGTACTCCAAGATGACCCTCCAAGTGAGATCCCCATAGGTCCAGATCTGCCTGGATGCTGCCTTTAATATGTATGTTCAAAAAGCGAATGAACTCAAAGGTAAATGTAGTGAGAGGCACATTTAACTTGATATATCCAATCATTTTCATGGTTATGTATGGGCAATTCCAAATGACCAATTGCCCAAAAAGGCTTTCGCAGACAACTGTCAGGCACTCCTCACACTTTTACTCCAGTATGCACGTACATCCCCGCGGGGAAAGGAGGGATCTGAGAGGGGATGCGACGTATCTCGCTACTCTAGATATCTTCCTCTTTTTTCATACCCTGAACCTGCGCAATGGTTGTCATGATATTATGCAAGATCAGATTTTCACTATGTTGCGTGATCCCCTAGGGATCCCCAGGGAATCACCTCTCACTTTCAAAGTCATTTATCTTCCCGAAAACTGAATAAAAACGCTGTAAAATTGTACTGAGGATACAATATGGCCCTGCTAAGCATGTTTTATGGTAGAAATAAGTGAAATCTCAGAATATTGTAATTTCCGATGATCGCTGCTCGCGAGCTATGGATTGTCGAAAAATTCAAAGTCTTCATTTTCCATTTCTTTTGGCGAAAATAAGCTCACCGGCGCCTTGTACAGTTGTGACAGTGGAATGTGAAAAATTTCGGCGAATTCGCCAAATTCGCCGATGTCGCCGAATTCGCCGATGTCGCCGAATTCGCCGATGTCGCCGATGTCGCCGACTTTGCGTCTTTTCGTCATAACTCCCTTCGTTCTCGATGGATTTCAAATTTGAAGGCAGATTTGGATTCAGCTCGCCGAGACGAATCTTTTCATATATTGAACTGCTGTAATCGGCTCGGTCACGGTAAGTGCATGGTAGGAATCCGTTGCATCCTGTGGTGGTGTTTTCTAGACTGTGTATTTCGGCGCATAATGTAGGCAAAGGTTTAAGAAAAAAAGCGTTTGATGGAAGAGTTTCTGCTGAGTGTTTCCAGCAGAAAACCATATCCTTTTTTGTAGTGGAAAAAAGAGAAAGGCGTACGTGAATTTAGTAAATATACATGAACCACTTACCGTCAAACAAACATAACTATACAGTAAACTGTATCACTGTATCACCTGTATCCCCGTTGATCATCGTGTTGCACGAGCGGGTGCCAATGATGCCTCCATTCGTCCCTGTCTCGGGCGATTGTTGACCAGTGTTTACGTATCGCACCAGGAACACGTGGAACGCTCTGAAGGACTTCATTAGAGGACTTCGTGAACATATCTGACCATCGCGTCGGCGGTCTTCCTCGTTCGCGTTTGACGTCCAGTGGTATCCAATCTGTTACAGCTCTCGTCCACCGGTTGTCGTCGAAACGCATTACGTGCCCGGCCCATCTTATCTTGTTCTGCTTGGCGTACGCGGCAGCGTCCCTGATCTTTCGATCGTTGACGTAGGGTAGAACTTCGTAATCCTTGCCTCACTTGCGTGAGTCGATTCACTCCTAGCATCACTCTCTCAACAGCTCATTCGATGACGCTAACCGCGTGTTCATCCTGCTTTCTCAGTGTCCATGTTTCTGAAGCGTACGTCAAAGCAGGAAGAACCGTCGAGTTGAAAAGGTGGGCGCGGAGCCGGATGTTCTTGGTCTTCTTCACTACGTCCTCAATTGTCTTATATGCTCCCCATGCTGCACGTTTCCTCCTGCGCAGTTCCGGAGCTAGATCGTTCATCATATTGAGTTCACAACCTATATAGGTGTAGCTTGAGCATTCGGTGATGTTCGTCCCGTTGAGCATGAAAGGAGCATCAGGCACTCTTCCGTTCCTCATGAACATCGTCTTCGTTAGATTCAGCCGTAGACCGATCTTTCCACACACTTCGTCAAACTGGGCCAGCATTTGTTCCGCCTGCGTGATGCTTGGTGTTATCAATACGATGTCATCAGCAAAGCGAAGGTGGTGTAGCTGCCGGCCGTCGACTTTCACTCCCATGTTGTCCCATTCCATCTTACGCATGACGTTCTCCGGAGCGGCACTGAATAGTTTCGGCGATATAGTATCACCTTGTCGCATGCCTCTCTTCACGTCGATGATGATGTCCTTGTAGAATGGTGTTATGGTGGTTGTGAAGTCGTTATACAGCTCACGAATTATCTTGATGTGATGAGTCGGGATACCTTGATTGCTCAAGGCATCGATGACGGCTTCAGTCTCAACCGAGTCAATGGCCTTCTTCAAGTCGATGAGGGTGAGACAGAGCGGCATCTTATACTCTCGTGACACTTCAATGAGCCTTGACACGGTGTATGTGGTCGATTGTGCTGAATCCTCTTCGAAACCCAGCTTGCTCGCATGGCTGTCCTTCGTCCAACTCTCTTCCAATCCTGTTGAGAATAACTCGCGTAAAGAGTTTGTAGACTACAGACAACAAGCAGATAGGGCGATAATTGCCGATGTCGCAGGGATCTCCCTTCTTGTACACAACACGGTTTTGCTGGTTTTCCATTGTCTTGGAACCTTGTCTTCCGTCAGGTACCGCGTGAAGAGCTTTGCCAAAGTCTTGATGAGAACTGGCGAAAGATTCTTCAGATGTTCTGGCTTAATCCTGTCGGGACCGGGTGCTGTATGGTTCTTCATCGACATGATAGCATGACGAATCTCAGAAGGGAGAACAGACGGTGCGACATACTCGTCCTCCTTGAGATGGCATGGTTGAAGGTGGACGTGGCTCGCAAAGAGATCCGAGTAGAAGTGATGGATGATCTTCTCCATTGATCTTCGGGAAGCAGTTATGGTTCCGTCAGGACGACGAAGTGCGGTCATCTTTGTCTTGAAGTTGACGAAGCTTCGGCGGGCGTTACGTATACTTCTTCCAGCCTCCGCGGCGTCAACCATCACTGCTACTCTTCTCTTCTTAAGGTCTTTATCGCTTCTCTGCATCGCTTCGCAAGCTCGGATGTCAGTCGGCAGTTGCATGTGGTTCCCAGGTCCAGCGTCGGGAAGAGGGCTTTCGGAACTGTGAGTTTCCATGGATAGTCCTCGTCGTCATGATAAACTCGGACAGTCTCTCCCCTTGTTCATTCCACCTGTACCATGGGTTCCGATGTGAAGTTCCTCAGGCGACCTTCTAGTTCCGGTCTTCGCGTTGAAATCACCGACGATGATCTTGTAGAAGGTATGATCTTCTCTGTAGGACTTCTCCAAGTCCATATAGAATTCCTCGAGTTCGTCCTCGTTGTAGCTGGATATGGCGTACGCAATGAAGACGGTAAAGGCAGGGATTGATCCACATCTTGATATTCGTAAACGTCCGATTCGAGTTGTAAGTTGTTCGAACGAATCGATGTTCATGGCCAAACTCGTGTTGACAAGGACTCCCACTCCACCTACTCTTCGACTGTCGCATGTTCCTAGGAACAGTTCTTCTCTAGTCTCAAATGTGGCGTTCAGCGGGTGGTGCCTCCTTGTCTCGGTCAGTCCGATGACGTCGTACTTGATCTTCCTTGCTTGAATCTGAGGTCTTCGATAGATGCGTCCGATGCCAGCGTCCTCGCGTTGTAAGTACAGATCGTCATCATAGTCCTTCTCGTTTTCGGCAGCCTAGATCGCCTTTCAAACCTTGTCCCCACTGGCGCTGCCTTACCAGTGGTTCTTTCAAGATTAAAGGAGCTTTCCATATTTTCACTGTGTCGAACAAGATTTTACTCGCAATAGCTTGTTGGGCTCAATACCCCCGCGAGGGACGATCGGGGCTTATTCGTTGAAGGCGACTCCGAACTCGCCTCCCCACACACCTACCCGGAAAATTTGAATGCAAGCTTTTAGTGGAGGCAGGGAGTCCGTCCCCCGGCTCCGCTTGCTTATCAGAGCAGGCGAGGGGTTATCCCCCTATCCGCCACCTGGGGACGCCCCACGTAGCGTCGCGACTAATTGGCTGTGATCCCTCTATGAGGGAGATCCGTGGTGACAGTAACACTAAGATTAGCAAAACAATTATAATCTTTGTAATCAGCATGTCTTGTTGCTTATGTGAGCAAAGTGACACACCGCATGACTATGATATTCTGCTTCCAGCAAAACTTCACTTTTCTCTGCAAACGCCTCTTTGCAACGCTGTGGGCCAGCCCCTTTCACACTTAAAAGATTCCGCTAAGGCGAATCGGAAAGAGTTGTTTCCATAGATAATCCAGCGGTAAAAAGTAGACGGAAACATGCTTTATAAAGCGCGAAAAGAGATGGTGAATTCTGCAAAAATCACGCGCCTTTAAATTCTACTCGCCATAACTTCTTCCAAAATAAGTATATTTTGAATCCGAAAACGGTGCTGTGCTCAGCTCATCAAGGCGAATCTTTTGGTATACAGCATGTCCTTGATATCTCGATTTCAGTATTCTTGAATCTTTCTGCGGATGTTTTTTCTCGAAGGTGTAAAGCAGCGAGCGTTGTCCCGAGTAGATTCCAGCAGGGATTTTTTGATAGTACTTTTTCTGTAGATTATGATGCGCTGAACAGTAGCCGCAATTTTCTTTTCAAAGGAAATAGATGGCCTGGTGAATTGTGGAAAAATCTTGTCGTCCCAAATTTTACTCGCCATAGCCATAGAATATGATGCTCTCTTGCTAAGCAGATGTGATTGTCGTAATCAGCAGGTCGAATAACCTCTATGAGCAAGTTTTCCGAGATGTTCGGGTTATTTTATTTTTTTTCGTTTTACGCTCTGGAAGCTCGCCGATGGATTTTGGTCAAAATGTTGATGCTCTTGAATTGTAAGGAAACTTCGCTTAAAGAGGTTTTCGAACACGCTCTTTACGAAAATCGTGGTCTCTGAGGATTATAGTCTTTTTGGAGAGATACGGTGAGGTAACTGTAACTGCACCACGAAATGCGTAACTTTGCCCGCACTCCTCGCGTATCTCTCAGGAACCTTGCTTGCTTGCTTTTCTAGGTCAAAGTGACTAGGAACTGAGCTATCGAATGGTGCATGAACCGGGCTCCAGTCTATAAAACTCGCCGAGTTAAGCCTACGAAAACACGTCCTCATGAAATTTGCACAAAATGTAAAGATCGCGTACTTTGTTGAAATTCCATCGTGAGTGGTTGTATAAAACGCGGGCGGGGTGAACATAACATTTGCAATTAGTCATGCAACCACTCACGATGGAATTTCAACAAAGTACGCGATCTTTACATTTTGTGCAAATTTCATGAGGACGTGTTTTCGTAGGCTTAACTCGGCGAGTTTTATAGACTGGAGCCCGGTTCATGCACCATTCGATAGCTCAGTTCCTAGTCACTTTGACCTAGAAAAGCAAGCAAGCAAGGTTCCTGAGAGATACGCGAGGAGTGCGGGCAAAGTTACGCATTTCGTGGTGCAGTTACAGTTACCTCACCGTATCTCTCCAAAAAGACACTATAATCCTCAGAGACCACGATTTTCGTAAAGAGCGTGTTCGAAAACCTCTTTAAGCGAAGTTTCCTTACAATTCAAGAGCATCAACATTTTGACCAAAATCCATCGGCGAGCTTCCAGAGCGTAAAACGAAAAAAAAATAAAATAACCCGAACATCTCGGAAAACTTGCTCATAGAGGTTATCCGACCTGCTGATTACGACAATCACATCTGCTTAGCAAGAGAGCATCATATTCTATGGCTATGGCGAGTAAAATTTGGGACGACAAGATTTTTCCACAATTCACCAGGCCATCTATTTCCTTTGAAAAGAAAATTGCGGCTACTGTTCAGCGTATCATAATCTACAGAAAAAGTACTATCAAAAAGTCCCTGCTGGAATCTACTCGGGACAACGCTCGCTGCTTTACACCTTCGAGAAAAAACATCCGCAGAAAGATTCAAGAATACTGAAATCGAGATATCAAGGACATGCTGTATACCAAAAGATTCGCCTTGATGAGCTGAGCACAGCACCGTTTTCGGATTCAAAATACACTTATTCTGGAAGAAGTTATGGCGAGTAGAATTTAAAGGCGCGTGATTTTTGCAGAATTCACCATTTCTTTTCGCGCTTTATAAAGCATGTTTCCGTCTACTTTTTACCGCTGGATTATCTATGGAAACAACTCTTTCCGATTCGCCTTAGCGGAATCTTTTAAGTGTGAAAGGGGCTGGCCCACAGCGTTGCAAAGAGGCGTTTGCAGAGAAAAGTGAAGTTTTGCTTGAAGCAGAATATCTTAGTCATGCGGTGTGTCACTTTGCTCACATAAGCAACAAGACATGCTGATTACAAAGATTATGATTGTTTTGCTAATCTTAGTGTTACTGTATAGTTATGTTTGTTTGACGGTAAGTGGTTCATGTATATTTACTAAGTTCACGTACTCCTTTCTCTTTTTTCCACTACAAAAAAGGATATGGTTTTCTGCTGAAAACACTCAGCAGAAACTCTTCCATCAAACGCTTTTTTTCTTAAACCTTTGCCTACATTATGCGCCGAAATACACACTCTAGAAAACACCACCACAGGATGCAAGGGATTCCTACCATGCACTTACCGTGACCGAGCCGATTACAGCAGTTCAATATATGAAAAGATTCGTCCGGCGAGCTGAATCCAAATCTGCCTTTAAATTTGAATTCCATTGAGAACGAAGGGAGTTATGACGAAAAGACGCAAAGTCGGCGACATCGGCGACATCGGCGAATTCGGCGACATCGGCGAATTTGGCGAATTCGCCGAAATTTTTCACATTCCACTGTCACAACTGTATATCCTCAGCATAATTAAAGCGTTTCATTGTGTTTTCAGGAAGATAATGACTTTGAAACTGAGAGTTGATTCCCTGCGCATCCCCTGGGAATCACACAAGATAGTAAATCTAATTTTCTATGGTAATTTGCCCTTCACTATGGGCAGGTATCAAGGTACGAGAACCTCATAAACAAGACAGAGAAAGAAGATGAAAGATAGTTAGAGTAGCGAAATATGTCCTCTCCCCGCTCCCCAGGGGATGTATGTGCATGGGGGGGGGGCTTAGCTATAAAGTTTCACAAAGTGCAAAACACAATTTCACTGTGGATATCTAGCCAGTATATCAATACTTATACGATACTAGATGGCAAACCCGGCTCCGCCCGGGGCCAAACTTTGCACACATACACTTCGGGGCAGGGAGCATGTCATAGTCCACTTTTCGTTATCGATCGATGTCGATTTCACCGATTTTTGCAAATTTTGAGCTACGGGGCTGGGATTTTGCACAGGGGGGTAATCGAACATGCTGATCACCCCCACGGGGGTGATCAGCATGCTCGATTACACCCCTCTGCCAAATTCCAGCCCCCTAGCTCAAAATTTGCAAAAAATCGGTGAAATCGACATCGATCGATAACGAAAAGTGGACTATGACACGCTCCCTGCCCCGAAGTATATGTGTGCCAAGTTTGGTCCCGATCGGTTCAGAAATAAAAATTTCTATTCCGCACATACGTACAGACAGACATACAGACATACATACAGACAGACATTCAGCTTTATATATAAGATTTGGCTTAGCCCTTTTTTCTATCTTCGCTCAAAAAGGATAGAAAGAGTCATGGAATTAGAACCAAACTTGGCAGACATAATGTATGGGATAGTACGTGTGTTAGTAAGTCATTGCGTTTAAGACCTAGCGATTGCCCCAATCGATTTATTGATTTTTGCAGTTTTTTGCTCAAAAAATCTTTTATGTTCGCCTAAAAAGATAAAAATAATCGTAGAATCTGAACCGGATTTGGCAGACATAATGTATGGGATGGGACGTGTGTTAGTAAGTCATTGTGTTTAAGACCTACCGATTGCCCCAATCGATTTATTGATTTTTTGTGAGTTATGCGTAGAAAATTTTCATATTTTCTTAAAAAGGATGGAAGAATTAATGGAATCTGAACCAAATCTGGCACACATAATGTACAGGGGTGAATGTGTGTTAGTAAGGTCATTTCGTTCGGGACGCACTCATTGCCCCTATCTTTTTATTGATTTTTTGCATTTTGAGCATTATCCGTTGCTTATGTTGAATTTTGAACCAAAATGTGACAAAGCCGAAATCATGTTCTCAGCTTTTCTTTCCTTGCAGGTTATAAAAATCAAATAACGTAAAAATGGCTCCTCACATTTCCGCAATTTAGAGTAAAACGAATGATTCACGAGGCAGCTAAGCTGCCACTATTAGCTGAACCTGCTGCGTAGCGGCAGAGAACAGCTGGTGTAAGTATAATTTAATTTAATTGGCGCATCCATCATTGTAAAAAAAAAACTTGCAATTTTAAAAAAAGTGTTATTCCAGAAAGCTGGTTAGATAGAGACATAACTCTTTCGGTCTACTGATAGATTTCGAGTTATTGATATGTGATAGTAGAGTCGAAACTGTCTTTCCACAGAAAGTCTTAGCCGAAGCCAGCAATGGAGAACCGAGAATGGGTTGCAAACTTTTTGAACCTAGCCTACACGGGTCAAAAAATTGTGCATGTGAGTTGCTTTCAATTGTGAATGACTTAAATATTTTTGTTTGTCGAAAAAATGAGCTTTGTAAAAGATATTTTCCCAAGCATGACTATCTTTTCTCCCGAAATTTCTAGGACTCGCAGACAGATTTGAAAATTATTTAGATGTATATTTTCGTCTTTCTCTCAATAAAATTCAAAAAGTTGACCGTCACTGAAGGACAGCTCTAAAGTCATAGAACTTCGTATTTCAAATCCAAACGAAGCGAGCAATTCTTCACCCTACCTAGTAGGAGATATTTGGGCCACTTATGGCTGCCTCAGTTACTGCATAGCCAAAGCGGATTTGGCAATATTACTTCATTAACTTTGCAAGATAACCCTTATTTTCAGGGTGACGGGGGTTGATGATTCAGCCGCTGTCGTCTGCTCGAATTCTGCCCCACCTGGACAGCAGTATGTGTACAGCGCACAACAATACCACGGAACTCAGCCATATTTTAACCCTCAAGCGCCCACGTTTTCGCCGTCAGTGAATCCATCTGCACCTCCGACACCTCCAGAATACAAACCGTGAAAACGTCTATCTAAGTTTTGCACTTACAAAAGAAGTGGGATCCATACCTTTGTCAGATTGCTTGATGGATTACATCGTGTGAATAAAGCTGAAGTTTAGAAAGCTCACATTAGCTAGTTTTTTTTGGTCTGTGAGGGTTATTTCTCTGACAATGAGACTCAATTTATCAGATTGCCGCTGATGGTGGGTGGATCGGATAAAACAAGGTAAAAACATGATGATTGGTGGAAAAACGCAATAGATTTCATAATTGAGCTAGAAATGTTGCAGCTATATCAAATTTAGAATAAGGCATCTATTTACACTCAACGTATAAAATTAGAGAAACAGTTTTGATTTGGGTCCTTAAGAGCACAAACTCAGAGTGACGCAACCTACTTGGAGAAGCAAAAAATACTCAGATCGAAGCTCTGAATACTTAGTTTACAAACATTTCGGGCTAACGGCGGTGGAATAATATAAAATGCAGATAAGTAAGGTCAAAGACTGTGCATGAGTGACGACTGAGGTACGTTTTTGCAGCTTATGTTATTACCAGTGCGTCACCTCTGCTTCGCAGAGGCTCGCACTGGCTCTACTATCTAGGCCCTACTCATTCTCACATAATGATGGCATTGGAACTCACCGAGCAATGCCGACTATCACGAACAAAATGTAAACAACTACTCATTCCGAAAGCTTTTATATGTGAACTCGGTGATTTCGCGTGAATGAGACTTTTTGCATGGGAACAAATGCAAATTTCTATAGGTTTTTGATTTTCCCATGGTCTTGACAGTTGCAATAAGAACAGCAGTCACCGTGAGCTACATCTTTGTGCAAAAATTTCGTCAGATGCTCTGGTGAAACCTTGGCAAATTGACCAATTGCGCAACCAATACTTTTTGGCGCTGTTTTTGTAAAGTACTGGACAATTTATCACTTTTTTGGGCCTAAGCTCATGGCTTGTACATTTACTCAACATAAATATTCACAACCCTACAAAAAGTGGAATTACGGACCCAACTTTGCTCGTTAAATGCAAAGTGGAACCGTTTGACGCGCAGTTTCTGAAGGATCCACTAAACGAATTGGCTCGTGCTTTTGCATGTTAGACTTGTACGCAGGTAGCACGCGCTGTGCAAAATTTGAGCCCAGGGGGTTGGCTGGAACACGCTCTACGAATTTCGTAACACACACACACACACACACACACACACACACACACACACACACACACACACACACACACACACACACACACACACACACACACACACACACACACACACACACACACACACACACACACACACACACACACACACACACACACACACACACACACACACACACACACACACACACACACACACACACACACACACACACACACACACACACACACACACACACACACACACACACACACACACACACACACACACACACACACACACACACACACACACACACACACACACACACACACACACACACACACACACACACACACACACACACACACACACACACACACACACACACACACACACACACACACACACACACACACACACACACACACACACACACACACACACACACACACACACACACACACACACACACACACACATACACACACATACACACACACACACACATACACACACACACACACATACACACACACATACACACACACACACAAAGTCACGTAAACATCCTTAGCCCGTTATTATAAGTAATGATAAGCCATTCTGAAAGTGATCTAGCTTTTTTCAAACAAGCGCTAAATCATATAGAAGATTCTCGGGAGACCTTAGTTGCATTCAATGCAGCGTTTCATTCTATTTCAAAAGATTTATTGCATCGCAGTTTACCAACGAGCTCCCAGTTTACCAAAAGTTACAATCCATGGTTTCTTTCCTGGTCAAGTTTCACTATTTTTTTTAAGGTTCTGTACCGACTCCTCGAAGAAGTCCAAGTAAGATGGGTAGAGCGAACCCTACAAAATACTAAACAACTGTATTCTTCTTTCCATAAGTCGCTAAAGTCGGCGATCATTTGGGTGTCATTTGATGCAGCTTTTTCCCCCTTTTCACAAATATTTTTCTATTTCTGGAGTTGAAGTCTTCGAAGGTAACAATATATTAAGTCCTCCGACCGCGTCTCAGACTGTACCCAAAGTTTTCGTTATCTGGTATTTCATCCATGAACGTTCTTTGCTTTGTAAAATCATTTTTGGAAGTCTCGAATCCTAAAGACTTATTGGTGTCTAAGGCGTTAGTGTCTGAAATGAGTCGGTGATCTCATAAAATTGTCTTAAAAGAGGCGAGATGTGAACAAAAGGAACAAATAGATTTGTATCTTGTAGGATTTGCCTTATCCATTCGCTGTTTGCTTTTCTTCGGGGATCGGTGTAAAACTATGAAAATAATGAAACTTTAGAAGCAATAACCATGGAATGTAGCATGGTAATTTTTTGAGAGCTCGTTGGTTACTGCGATGCAATCATAATCACCTGAAAAGGATGGAAATGTATAGAATGCGATCGAACAAATAGAGGAAGAGTCAAAAATGCTAGATTCTGTAGCTGATACAGATGATCTGCATGTTAATGGCGAGAATTGATGTAAATTGCCAGGTTGTAAAGAGATATGCTTGATAAGGATGTCTGAGGTATTTTGGACGACGGTACAGTTTTTTTAAATCATTTTTGGGACTTTTGCATGCTCTATTTTCTATCTTCCAACAATATGTGGAATAAGTATCTGGATAATATCTTTTAAAACTTCTTTTGCTCTATCAAATGACACCGCAAGACCTATTCAAAGAAAGAGAATAATAAAGACCTATCGGAGGAGAAAGCGAGAACGATAAAAATTTTTCAGACAACCTTTTAAATCATATTTATGAAGCTATAGTTTGTTGACTCGTTATTGTTTTTGTTATTACATCATACTGTTTCTCTGAAATTTCAAAATTTGGAGAAAAAGATTTGGCCAGTTTCGAAACCCACTTTTTGTTGTCCAAATATGCTGACGAGAGAGTTTTTCTGAGTCATCAGGCTTGATAGTCGTGAACCTTATCAGCTATGGTCGGCACTTTCAGTGACATGGCGCATTTCTTGACTCGGCGCCCTCCTGAACAGTCCTCCGTCGACGTTCTTCATCATGATGCGACTGTTTCGCACGACCGATACAACAAAGCACTGTGGAGTGAACACAAAGGTTATACAAATTACAATTTAAGTTGCATATTGTCACCTTCTGTCCCTCATAGCTAAATTGATGTTAATTTTTTAGATAGCATGTATCGTGCTGGGCATTTTGGTGACTGCAATGGAGATATATACCTACATATTTCTGCCTATAATCCCCGGTTAGTTATATTTAATTCTTCAGCTTTATGGAATCAATAGATTTTTTTGTTTATTTTAGCCTACGAAATTCTAACTTTATGAAGAAAGAGAAGCTGTAATGTATGTGTGCCGATCCCCATCTGCTCAATCCATTGAATCAAAAAGCAAAATAGCAAAAACAAGGTTCATTGAATTATACACGGTGTCCCAAAAGTATTACACACTGTTTGATCGTTGATATCTCTTACCATAAGGTAATTGCCTACATTCGCGTATCTTGTCGAGCTGGACTTAACTTGAAATTATAGTATGGAGCAACTCACCCCTCCCTCTTCATTAATGTAGGATTGCGGTACGATTTTGAAGGGGGCCTAGAGCTATTTAGGTGCATATTTTGCCTCAGTCAGAAAGCCAAACAGCTCAAAAATTTTTATGCAGTAATCGAAGTCCCTCACTTCAAACTTATTTAAAATTCGCACTTTGCCTAGTGCTTCTTTTTTGAGTTACCGTCACTGTAGCAACGGGTTTCTTCAATGATACTTAAAACGTGATCGCACGGTTCAAAAAGCTAAAAACTTGTAGCAAGTTGGTGGTGATACCAACACGGGTGAAAACACTGCTACACTGTTTTTCAGATTATTTTGAAATTTTTTTTCAAAGGGTCTTCGCTGAACATATATCTCAATGTCTGCTTGCCTGTCTTTTGATTTATGCAAAGAACTAAAAGTTTTACATTAAGTTCCGCACCAAATTCATCAAATTTATCAGTTTCTTGCAACTTTTGGACTGAGAGCTGGAGCCTAGTACGAAAAATCATCAATTTCTTTTATAGAATTTGTCGATTTTAAAGATTGCGAAGGAGGTGGAAACTTAGCATAGGTGGTATATGAGCGTTACGAGCACGAGAACGCACGGGGGAGAGGGGAGAAGGAAAAGGTTGCGAGCATTATGCAAAATAATGTGGAAACACAGAACTGCTGCGCCAAGTGGATAGCTAGTTTTCTAAAATTTCGAAAAAAGCATACCAAAAAATTTTTTGGAGTGCGTGGCTGACGCAAGCACCAAAGTCGCATCTATGTGAGTTGTTGTCTATCATATATTGGAGTATTTGTGAGTGCCAACAGTGCACGGAAGCTCGAGGTTGAACTCGATCTAATGTCTTCAAATTTTTGCCTCTATTTTGACAGAATTCATTGGTGATGCTCGCGATTGGTATGATCTTGTAAAGCTTGCCTTCGTTTACCTAATGGTATGTTGCATGCCCTATTTGGTGCTCGCATCGAAGCAAAATTTTTATCTAGAGGCAATGTCCGAGAACTTTCTTACCAACTCAATAAATCAATAACGAAAAGTAGTCTACGATACCCGCCCCGCGCCGAAGTGTCTGTGTGCAGAATTTGGTCCGAATCGGTTCAGAAAGAAAATTTTCTTTTCGGAACTTATGTACACACGCACAGACAGACAGATAGACAGACATACATACAGCATAAGCTGTAAGCTGTTATTGAGACGGTATGTTTCTACTTCAAAATGAGATCTCGGAGCGCTTCTTATCTCCTCGTGTTCATTCGATGGTTTCAAACTCGAAAGAGACGAGGAAGCAACATAAAAATACAAATATATTATAGCATGTTGAAAAAAGAGGAATTATGAATTAGTATGGATGCAGCACTATCGGTATAACAATAAGACTGCTTTCATATAGCATTGCCTTAAAGAATTTCTAAAACCACAGCGAAGGGTTTCTGTTGTAATTGATGTGTTTGCAGCATATCGACAAATATGAATATTTCAGGTTTGATACTGTGTGGAATTGCTACGTTTCTATTTTTCGTACTTCTGGTAGCTTGCGTGAAGATGCTGCCATCACTTCTTGTTGTCTTCATGATTCTTAACGTACGAAACTCCCTCATGTAGAGATTTTATGCAAAAAGCCCAGTAATAGCCACTGAATTCAGATGCTCATGAAAATACCCATTCTTGTCGTGGTATATTTCATAACCTACACCTTAGCTTCTTATGGTGGCTACTATCTATTTTGCAATGACTACCAGTGCTCTTTGTATCACTTATGTGAGTCTATGATGTACATGAGATTGTAGATCACCAAACATCGATTTTTTAGCTACGGGTCTTCTTTGGTCTGGCCTAATCGTTGCTTTTATCAGCTGCATACTCGACGGAGTGCTGACTGCAGGTGTTCGCAAACTTCGACTGCTGAGTCAAGGCGTTAGAAGTGTTATGTGAGTTTATGGTTTAGATGTAGTATACACCCAGACCAAAAAATTTGTTGAGAATATTAGGTAGGCTCAAAAATACTTTAGTTCCTTCGACCTAGAAATGTACACAGACAAATTTCCGAACAACAGACATAGATTCTGTTCAAGTATTTTCTGATGAAATGGCACAGGAAGTTGGCTACTCATGTTTTTTCAAGCCTTAGAGCAAATGTTAGGTTGATGCACATTTCTTATACTAATAAATAAATGTTTAAAGTTGATTAAACCAAATAATTTACAGAATATCTCTTCGTTACGACATCAAGAGTAGTAATTCATAGTATTAGGTCATTTGGAAAATCTTTTCGCTCTTTTGCGCCTTTGAAGTTGGTGTTATATTCTAAGACAGTGCCGAAGGGCTGATAAGGGTTCCAATACATATATGGATCTGTAGAGGAAGTTTTCTAGTTCCGATTATAAACGCGATTTTTGAACAATTGCATTTTCTGAGCTCAAATTTGAATGTGAGGGAGTTGAGAGAGCCATCATTGCACGCTATGCATTTGCCAAGGCTACGTCTTTCCTGAAGCTAGTGCAAGTGTGCTTCAAAAAGTTCAGATCTAGAGAGAAGTGAAAATGTTTTGCAATTTTGTGGAAGATGTTCCTGCCATATAGAGAGCGTCTCAGAAGGTCCTTTAGTCCTTTATCCTAGTAGAAGATATTTACGCCATTCATCACTGTCTCAGTTACTGCGTAGTCAAAGCGGATTTGGCAATGCTACCTTCACTAAACTTGCAAGATAATCCCTATTTCAGGTTAGCCCAAGAAACGCACCACCACTGTCATCCGCGAACGGTGGTTGTGGCGTCTGCACCTCAGCCGATTGTCTACACCACAACCGCCGCGGGAGCTGGTTATTCAGCCGCTGTCGTCTACTCGAACTCTGCTCCACCTGGACAGCAGTACGTATACAGCGCACAACACTATTCCGGAGCTCAGCCATATCCCAACCTCCAAGCGCCGACGATTCCGCAGTCAGTGAATCCATCTGCACCCCAGACACCTTCCGAATACAAACCATGAGGGTGTTTACACTCCAGACTTTGCAGTCAAAGAACTGGGACCCATACCTCTGCCAGATCTATGTTTGATAAATTACATTGTGTGAATAAAGCTGAAAATTTTTAGACATTACACTTTGAGCTCGTATTTCTGGTCTCTAGTTCAAAATCTATCATTTTGCCGCTGATGGCGGCGTGGAACAGATAAAAGAAGATAAAACACATGTTTAGTGCAAAAATGCAAGAAAAGTTATAATTAAGGTAGAAATAGTGTGTGTCTATCATACATCGAATTCAAAAGGGAGACCTATTTACATTCTATAGAGCCAAGTGAGAGTTCATACTCATAGTGACGCAGTATACTTGTGAATTAAAATTCACTCAGTCGAAGTTCCGAATACTAAGGATACAAACATTTTAGGCTAACGGTAGTGGAATGAGATAAAATGCAGATAAGTAAGGCCAAAGGGACTATGCATGAGTGACAACGGACGTCCGTCTTTTAGAACTTGTGTCACCATAGATTATTTTGAAAGTGACGTAGCTTTTTTCAAACTAGCCCTAAATCACATAGTTTTGAGATTCTCGGGAGACCTTACAATTAGGTGCATTCAAAACAACTTCTCATTCTCTTTCAAAAGGTCACGATTGCATCGCAATTTAAACAACGAGCTGCCATAAAATTACCAAAAGCTACAACCCATGGTTTTGTCTTGGTCAGGTTTCACTATTTTCCTAATAAGGGAATGGTCAGAAGTCGAAGTGGCCAAGCCAAACAAGCTATATATCATTCGATGCAGTATAAAACGCTGACTTCGAATCTGTCTTCCTTATCTGCTTATCGCTTCCGCGGACGAAGCTACAAGCATTTTTATTGTGAAAAAATCATACATGAAAACAGCGAAATTGAGCTTGTTGAATTTTTAGCTCAGCTTCAGGCTTTAAAAATTTGAAGTAGCTTAGCTGCATGTTTTGGCCCAGCATCATGACTTATAATAAGCGGCTTAATCTGAAGTTGTGTGGAGTTTGTCCGTTACGAAATTAGTGAGGAATGATTTACGATATTAAACATCATGTGAGGTTAAGATAGCGAGTATGGTTCATTTTTAACTACGGCTCACGTTGCAATAAACCGAACAATGATTTGAGCGGCAAGTTCTCAGAAAGTGAGTTTACCACGGTTCACGATGCCAGTGCGAACCTCTGCGAAGCAGAGGTGAAGCACTGGTTAAGGAAAACGTGGCTTTGTACCGCTAAATTTTCACTTTTACGCATAATTTCTTAGCAAAATAATGGCCTCCAATAGCTTATAGCTTCGCCCAGAAAAGCGATAAGCAGGTAAGGAAAATAGATTTAGAGTCAGTGCTTCATGCTGCATCTAATGGTATGCAGTTTGTCTGGATTGGCCACTTCGATTTCTGACCATTCTCTTGTAAGGTTCTGTACCGACTCCCCGAAAAAGTCCAAGTAACGGATGGGTAGAGCGTACCCTACAGAATAGAAAACAACTATTTTCTTCTTTTCGTAACTCACGTTATTTGATAGAATTTTGATTGATACCACCAATTTCCATATTTGGTGAACACGAATTTCGTAGAACAAACAGGCGATCATTTGAGTGTCATTTAATGCAGCTTTTCTTCTCTTCTTAACAAATATTTTTTATGCCTAACTCGTAAAGTCTTCGAGGATAAAATGGAATAAATCTTCCGAACGCCTTAGGCTCTACTGAAATATTCGTAATTTGGTATTTCATTCTGTTAATGCTCTTTGTCTTATAAAATCATATTTGGAAGTTTCAGATTCTAAAGATTGCTTAATGTCTGAGGCGGATGTGCCTAAATGAATCAATAATCTGAAAAATTTCCTCAAAGGATTATGACGAGATGAGGACAAATAGCTCTGTGTCTTGTAGGATTTGCTCCACCCATTCGCTGCTTGAACTTCTTCAAGGTCGGTATAAAACTTCAGGAAAATAATGAAACTTCAAAAGCAAAAACCATGGGTTTTAGCGTGGTAATTTGTGAGAGCTTGGTTACTGCGATGCAATTATAACCGCCTGAAAAAGGATGGAAATGTATAGGACGCAACTAATATTTTCGGAGAACCCTAGATTTGCAGATGTGGCGCTCGTTTGAAAAAGGGAAATTACTTTTGGAACTACTTAACACAAAAGAAAATTTTGTACTATTTGTAATTTGTAATTTTTTGGTATATTTCTAGACAGCATAATCTTCTCACATAAATGGCAAGGTATGACCAAGGAGAGAAAAATTGTTTAAGCGTTGAATAAGCAAAAAAATACATTCTTGAAATTGAGCCGAAGTTGATTGACTTAGATAAAAATGTGGGGCATTGGTATATACATATGTAATAATATTATACTAATTGATTGAAATATTAGGGTGATCGCTAAAAAATGGGGCAGCTTGATTTTTATTACATTTTGAGGTTTTCTGTTCTCACCAACAACTAGCAGGCTGCAACTCAAACGTCGCTTACCTAACCGAACTTCGCCTATTATTCTGGCAACGCGTTACCTCTCCTCTCTCCTAACCGCACGGCGCCGTGAAGAATTCAGACAGGGTTTTTGGAACAATTCTCAGTCTTGCGCTGCTATACCGTAAAGTCATGAATTGAGTGGCATACCATTCGAAAGAGCTCTTTGTGCTCTTCCAAACATTTGTTAAATGCGTAAGATTTCCTTTTAATCAGAAAAAAAAAACGCGAAAAAATCTGAAAAATAGCCAATTTCTGGCGCAATAAAAAACCAAAAAGCCATGTTTTGCCCCATATTTTCCCAAGATAGATAAAATCTGAGGTAACCTGCATATGGATGGATAGGGCGTAAAAAGCTCTATCAGATGGTGCCTACAAAACATGCGTTCACCCGCAAAGAATTAAATAACGCATATCTTTGTTCTTGAAGATGCTAATGGCCATATCTCCTGACTTTGAAAGTTGAGGCCACCAAGCCGTCGTGAGTTTGGTGACTATCACACCATCCACTCCAGCAGTGGTACTTTGGGTGGTCTCACATGTTATACTGCGCAGATACTGCTCAAAGTTCAGAATTTATAGAAGTGACTAACTTTGCATTTTAGCAAGTATAAAAATTATCAATTATGTAAATGACCTTATATAGGTATTGTCTGAAAGAGAATAACATATTCTAGCATCTATCAAAATTGGAAAGTCTAATCACTTCTTCTTCTTGAGAAACTTCCAGTTATTTCGTAAGTGCCCCATTTTTTACCGATCACCCTAATAGCAAGCGCTTTTGTTCCTCATCACGAACATTATGATAAACACCAATTTGTGGTTTGGCTAAAAATCGCGATTCAGGTAAAATGTCGCTGGCATGATCTCGATGATCTCGAAAAGTTAAGGAAAAAGCGGAAAAAGCTGAGACAATGTCATCCGAATTAAGAGCCCTTGAATTCAAACGTGCAGAAGACATGTTCATTATCCTTCATGCCGTCATCACTATATAAAGATCAAATGATTTTCTTTCCACATGCATCCCTTCATGTTTTTGTCCAAAGATCATCTCTCTCTCCAATAAACACTTTACTCACGCAAGAAAAGAAAAAAAACGCATAATGTATACGTATATGTAATGCAAACTTGGATGCTTGGCAAAAAAGGTCAGATTTGAAAACAGCGAAGCTCCATTCAACAGTATAATTACATTCCATGTGTCACATCATCTAGACATGTTTTCTCAAAAGGACTTCCACTATAGACTCTGCGTACAGTACCTCATCGCATTTATTCGCATATTCGCTTCATCTAAAGGTATCCGGGTAAGATGCATATAAAATCACCAACTGGAACTTGCTCCCGGTAAATATAGGTGGAAGCTGCGCTTCAGACTGTAGCAACGAGTGTTACTAAAATCCCCTAATTTTTCAGATATGTTTTAGAAGAGATGGCAAAAAGCTTATTGGCTGATCACCAAAAGTTGTCTATGATGACGGAGCTGAACCTTCGAACAATCTAATAACTGCTGCAGCGCCTTCTCCGCATTTTGCGACCACCACGACGTATATTACGAAAGCAGAGCATTACATGGGCAGCAACCAATACTCGACTTTCGAAAACTCGGCGGTTTTATGAGCCTTCTATGCTCGGACTGTGCGTGGTCATGTGCGCGCTTACATCAGTGGTAACACATCCTCTTCCTTCCTGACCTTCTGTAGATCAGCGAGCTTAGCTTTTATAACTACTAGATTTATTCTATACACTGCGTACGAAGATTTCAAGAAAATTCTCCTCTTATTCTCCCAAGCAGAAAACCCCGCAAGTTTTGAAATAGCGAGATTTTATTCTAACGCGGATAAGTTTATTCAAATATGCCAAAAATAAACTTTTGTGTACACTGTTTGATCATTTACAGCTTTCTTGACGCAACGTAAATGTACAACTTTGAGTCCAATTGGTAGAGTTGGCACCAACAGTGCAACACTAAGCGAATAAACCAATCTTCAATGCTGTAAAAATTCGATAGATACCCCAGCACTTCTACTCTATCTAACAAATTTTTTTTTCAAAATGTGTAAGTTGTTTAGGAAGGATTTTTATACTGATTTTTATCGAAACACTTTGCGCATATCGGAAAAGTGTGACTGAGCTGAATGCAGGATTCTCACACCTTTCAAAATGATTTGAAAAATAACTTTCATCATGACTTATAATAACGGGCTAAGGGTTGTTTACGTCTTTTTGTGTGTCTGTGTGTCTGTGTGTCTGTCCGTTACAAAATTCGTAGAACATGTTCCAGCCAACCTCCTGAGCCAAAATTTTGCACGGCGCATGCTAGCAGCATGGAAGTCCAATATACAAAAGCGTGAGCAAATCCGTCGAGTGGATCCGTTAAAAATTGCGCGCCAAAAGGGTCCACCTGGCTTCTGTACCGCAAAATTCGGTCCGTATCACCACTTTTTGCAGAGTCGTGGATGAGTTTGGTAAGCAAATGTACAAGCGATGGAGTTTAGCCAGAAAAGTGGTCGAAAGTTTACTACATAACGAAAACGGCGCCAAAATGAATTGGTTGTGTAAATGGTCAACTTGCCAAGGTTCTAGCCAAGCGTTTGAGAAGATTTTCGCACAGAGATGTAGCTCACGGTTATCATTACCTTTATGGCGACTACCAAGCCATGACAAATCCAAAAACCTATTCAAATTTGCGTTTGTCTTCCTGCGAAAAGTTTCATCCACTCGAAATCACCGATCTCACGTGAGAAGACTTTCTAAATGAGTGGTTGTTTACATTGTATTCATGGTAGTCGGCATAGCGCGGTGAGTTCCAGTGCCAGATTTTAGAGAATGAGTAAGGCACATAGATAGTAGAGCCAGTGCGGACCTCTGCGAAGCAGAGGTGACGCACTGGTTTGCGTATAACACCTTTAGATTCCCTTTCACTATCTTACAGTAATGCAAAACAATGAGTGAGTGATTCGTTTCTTACCGTGAACGTGAGCTCTATAAAAGATAAGCGAAAGTCGCGAACTACGCTGAGACGCGAGGATCACTATGGAGCCTTATAGGAAGCTGACTGGAACTGCTGGTACAATGCTTCGTTATCGAGCACAAGAATTTTATTCAAACGTGGCAAAGTTTTTTCTCGTTTTCTATGCTTTTCGTTTTCCTTGTTAATAAGGACTTCATGAGTATGGTCGAACTATAGTCACAGAGCTACATTTGAAAATCTGAAATCTTCTTCTACTGACAAAATCTATGTGAATTGCTGAGCTGTATCCCGATACAAACTTAAGATTAGAAATAATTCGATTCAGCATCGGGGTCACACTAAGAATAAGCGGTTACTCTAAGAATAAACAAGAACTTATAACTGTTTGTCGGTTCTTGCCATCGCTTTTTTTAACCGTATCATTGCTTTATCACAATAGTCGACCTGTATCTTCATTTCCACATTTTGCAGAAGTCATGGCTCTTGTCAAAGTTCTGAAAAATAAAGCTTACTTCAAACGCTTTCAAGTGAAGCTGAAGCGTCGCCGGCAGGGAAAGACTGATTACCAGGCGAGGAAGAAGCTTACTGTCCAAGACAAGAATAAGTATGGTGCACCTAAATATCGCCTCATTGTGCGTTTCACCAATAAGGATGTGATTGCTCAGGTTTTCCAATGTTATTTGAGCTCTTACTAGTTGCAAATGGAATCGTGTTAATTCAGATCGCTTACTCGAGAATCGCAGGCGATGTGATCGTTGCTTCTGCCTACTCCCATGAGCTCCCAGCTTTTGGCATAAAGGTAAAATTTTTTTAGATTGATGACTCGGTCTTATTGTTCATGAGATCGATCCCATTACACTCCTTAAACCGTGGGCTAGATAACCTTCCAAAAGTTCTTGATAGGAGTACTGAAGTGACTTGTTCATTAAAAAAATCGTGGGAAGTTTTCTATGGGAATTTATAAAAATAAATTGAAAGACCCTTTTGTGCTGGATTTGAGAACTTGTCTGTCAAATTGACTTGATTTTGGTGAGAGGGTTAGAGACCCAAGAGAGTCAGAGACCCTCTTACCAAAATTCAAGACGATTTTTTTGGAAATTAAGTAAAGCTAGGTTCAAAAGCAGAATTGCAACTTTTCCCTTGGATATTCTTTAGGATCAAGAAGAAGCAAGTGAACAGTTGTTATCTGCAGAGGAAAGTATACCAAGGAGCATTAGCAATTTGTTAAGAAATGCGTATCACGACCGACTTTCCATGCTAATGCCGAGTTTGAATCCATATCTGCGAAACAACTCCTTGAGAGATGTTATGAGCACTTCAAAGCCGTTCAGTAGACACTTCCCATGAAAAAAAAGCTTAAAAATTGAAAACTTGTTCTCCTGCGTTCTTGGGGTCAAGCATAAACGCTAAGATTTCCAATAAGAGCTCTCAGGCAAACGACGTTTTTGACATACAAAGATGAAAAAAGCCTACAGTTTCAACGCTCACAATTTTGTTTGGAAAGTTTATCGCGAAAGAAAAACAGATCTGAAGTCAGCGCTTGACCCGATTTGACAGTGCAATCTTGTTTCTTCCCATAAGAAAGGGCAATTTTTCAATTAAATAAAATGCCAGACATTCTTACATAACTTCTTCCACATCAAATTATCCATAAACGTGACCGTCCCAATTAACCACCTCGAACGCTTCTAAAGCCGTCAAATCACGGTACTGTTTTGAAAATCGTTAACCTGGTATAAAAACGAGATATCACAAGTGCGATATCAAAGCATCCACTGTATTCACATCTTGCTTCTCATGATTGCTTTTATGAAAAGTAACCTCCTCTCCTTCCAGGTTGGTCTAACTAACTACGCTGCAGCTTACGCCACTGGGCTCCTACTAGCGAGTCGTCATCTGAAGAGTCTGAAATTAGACAATACCTTTAAGGGAGGAAAAGATGTATGTAGTAAATCTCACATTGTTATTGTACGAGAGATGCTTACAGAGCGAAACACAGTCACACAATGTTGAACAGCAGGACAAATGCCGCCTCAAAGTAGTGTTGGATATTGGCTTGGCTCGTGCCACAGTTGGTTGCAAAGCTTTTGCAGTAATGAAGGGAGCCGTTGATGGTGGAATGAACATTCCTCATGGGTGGGTTTTTCCTTTGTTTTTTTCCCTTCTATACCCAGCAAAAACCGCTCTTAAGCAACCATTTACAATATTTTTAAGGGAGAGTAAGTTTTTCGGATACGATGATGAATCGCATAAATACGATGCGAAAGCTCACCGTGATCGTATCTTTGGAAAACACGTTGCCGCTTACATGCGGCTACTGAAAGAGGAGGATGAATCAGCCTACAAGAAGCAGTTCTCACGCTTCATATACCACGGTATCGATGCGGACAATTTGGAGGAGGTCGGAATATTAGGTTACTTCAGCGATTCAATCATTGCTCACCTCATCACTCAGATGTACAAGAAAGCACATGCTGCAATTCGTGCGAATCCTGATAGGCAGACGTGCTCCCTCACGAATAAAATGGAAAGGAAGAGTGGGCAACAGGAATAAAGTTGAGTGCGGAAAGGATTTTGATCTATCGCTACCTTCAACAGTGTATCTATTTTTACAGGATATGAATGTGACCGTAACGCATGTGAATGACGTCTGCATCAAAAAGACACATTTGCGTCCCACTAAAAGATACGATGTTTTTTCGTAGATAAATTGTTGTTGTTATTAATTTCTATGTAACACTATTTGAGCATGAAAAACGCATAACAAGCTAAACATCTTGAAGTTTGTGGCCAATTACAAAATAACACTTCATAACAGTCGATCGCAAATTTAAGATCATGCAGGGATGGTGGAGGGCAGGGGGAGACACAAATTTTTTCTAACGAGGAAAGAATACTTGGTGACGACTGTGGCCATCAATGATAAGGTGTATACTGAAAGATGCGTCTTTAAATGTTGGTTCGAGAACTGTCTTCCATATCTGCGGAACGATTACCTTTTTGGAGACACGGTTTATTTCCAAGAAGAAGAACTTCCACCATCGCGGAAAGTTAATTATCAAGGCAAAATTTTTGCTATTTGACTGCCATTTTGGATCGATTAGTCTGAATGACAGTCCTCCACCTCAGATTTTCTTACTACGAAATAGTAATTTAGACCCTACGACAATTTTAGCTATCACTAAATGGACAAATTTTCTACAAATGGACATTTATAACTTTCTTCAAAAGATCGTTTCGCAGATAGTGGGGGCAGATTTGAAGTCAGTGTTTTAAGATTCTTGTTTTGGTATACTTTCAAATCTGAGTGACGTTACCTGGTATCCTTACCTTGTAAGTGGGCAGGTGCCGAGATATCACGCACTGAAAAAGCTCTTTGGTAGCTTCTTGTTACGACGTTTCAATAAAAGTGGGGTCGACTACGTAAGGCTGAGGTTCAAGCACGCTTACTTTAAAAACAAGTCTTCTGTTTCGGCCCCTCCTTTTCCGCGACATTTGCAATAGACTACGCATCACCATACACTACTTACATTGCAGAGTTGCACCAGCTGCGCGGAGTGGGGCCTATCGACATAAAGTCCCCTACCGCCTCATCCTCAAAACCATAATCTCATAGTCTCGAACTGTGGAGGGAAATGACCTTTAGTGGAGAGTTCAAATTCTGTGCGCCTGATTTCCTGCGATTGCATGACTGCACAGCACAACAGCATGGCGGTGAATTTTTTCTTGAATATGATTTCTCGTGGGCTAGAACTTCCTCAGGGAAGGAGTTTTTTTTCGCGACCAAATTCTAACATGGCGAACGCGTTCGAGCTCACTACTCATAACAAGAATAGAGCGATCTGTGGATCTTGAAGGTAAGTTAGATGGGTCAGGCACAAGGTAAAAGCCCAGGCAGACCCTTTGAGGGGTAGTGCCTGACCGGGGGGGGGGGCATTACTTGTGGGTGTCAGTCAAGAACTGCCGCGACGTGGCGTTACGGTAACCCGGGCGAGAGGCAGCAGGGACAGAGAAAATATCCCAGAGGAAATGATTAGGTCAAGTTATAATAGTGAACATAAAATTTGCATTAAAAGTATAGTAATTTCCATATTTCCCTTCATATCTTCCTTTTTCCTAATAATTCAGTGGCCAAATTCCATCAAACACTAAAAATTGATGTAGTACTGTAGAAACTTTTACAAAGAAGTAACAGTATGGCTTTGCAGGTCGACTGCCCAAGTTTTCCGCGCACCTGATTATCGCCAGCCTGTCGCGCGCGGCGACTCTCACTCTCAAGTAATGGGATACACCCTGCCTGACCCCGTTAACATAATCTTCGAAGAAACCTCTCTCACACATATTCTATGTCACTCATTAGCACAAATCACTTAGATTTTACATTAGGTGCATGAGCTTATCCTTTGATTAAATTGGCTTGGGGGCTGGAAGACGGAGCGTAACCTAATTAAGGCTAAGTAATGACCAGAGAGCACGTGCGCAGGAGAGAAACAAACTGCTTCGCGGGCGCGAACGGTCACAAAGCCGCGCCTTCCAGCCGCCCAGCCAGTTGAATCAAAGGTTACCTCGACTTTCGCTTGGTGGTGGTCCATGCTGTGATAGTACTCAGTGTGTGCGTTCGAATAATCTTTAAAGCACTTCTAATCCATCATTTAAATACGCTATGAAATGAAACCCCTGGATAGAGCGTAGATGAAAAAGGTCATTAGTTTGGTATAATATGCTAATATAGTAATTTGGTATAATATGCTAATATGCTGTATAATTTGCTCTTCACCTTGCCCTATCAGAGGGTTTTTTTCATTTTTACGCGCTCTAAATAACACTCTCATCTTTCTATCCATTCCGCAATCCCCTCCCCAGGTCGGGTGCGACTGACCCCATGCTTGACCCTAGCCAACTATGCTGGCAAAGACATTTCGATTACTTGCATAGTTCTGAGATCTGCTCTAAACAACACTTGCTAAAGGCACAGCTAGTAAATGTTGTGCGTCTCGAAAACGTCGCTTTGGACCCATTCCCATCTTCCCATTTTCGTTTGCCACTCCTTGATGGCGTGAAAATGGAGTAGATACAAAGTAGAAGGTTGGTTTCGATCTTCTTTTTCCCTGTTAAACGTCTCTGTAGGCGAAGTTGTGAACTTACAAGCCAATATTTTTTGGAAAATCATATTTGCAAAGTGCAGACCTGAACGTACAGATCCATGTTTGGCTCAGTGTGTTAAAGTATGCATGTAACTTGCTTTACAAAGTGATGCCTAAGTTTGAGCTAGAATACTGCAATTCGCGTGTACGATTTCGCAGGAGGGCAGCTCACAACCTCGTCCAAGGAGGCTAAAAGAAACATGAATTCAAAGTCGTTATCAGTACATGAAGACTCTTTCAGCGTTCAGAATGACGAAAAAAGCTGTGTGAGCCATCATCGAGACAACGTCAAGACAAAGGTCATTGCAGTATTTTTGTACACTAGACACTTATATTCTTGACCTTGGATTAGATATTTTGAAGCAGCCTATATCCACCTCAAAAAATTCTTCCTCTTTCTTAAGAACGCTTATTCTTACAATGACGTTTGCTAAGATTCAAAATGCTTGATTTGTATTCGACTCTGCCGCAGGAGTGGTAATCAACCATCTTTTGTAATCCGCGGTACAAGCTACAGGCGCGTAATGAACGGCTCTCCCTAACTAAGAAAAGCAGGAATGAGTGAAACCATTGCATTTTTCAACGAGAGAAATGTGCATCTGCTTATTGGCTTGGGCACATATTGTGGTGATTCTTCAAGATTGGCTCCTAGCATGTTCGAAGTATGACCAAGCGCAAGAGTTGACCGGGTTTTACTAAATGCTTGAAACAATTCTCGATAGAACTTCAGGCTCTACATATGCATTCATGTGTTAAGTGGGTCCAATGTGCCGTTTTTTAGACCTATCCTCAAATTATTCAGAATAACGAGCAAACACTTTAGGCATTTTTCGTGCAAAATTTTCCTCTCTTTTCAGCAATGATGTTTTTGTTCGGATTTCTTCAATATTCTTTCGAGTGATTGATCGCCACATCTCCAAACCATGCATTTACGTACACTAAATTGAGCTATCCTTGAAATTGTGGTTTTGGACTTTTAGATGAGCTTTGATAAGAGTCGGAAGAATAAACAAAATGCTACAAAATCCAATTTTTCGGCATCAATAGTTGGCTTTTCAGTATTTTCGAAAATCGATCAGAAAGAAAAGATTTTCAATTTCAAGTCTTTACATTTGCGAAGTCGTAAAATTAAACGCTTCAAATACTGCGGAATCTTCACAACGGAACTTCTGAAATCAATTATGATTAAACATAAGTACAAATGAGATTTTACCTCCTCGAAACACTGATTTTTGAAATTTTCGGGTGCAGATTGGGACGCATCAAAAACACTACACTTATGGCAGTTTTTTCCCGAGGTCTTTACGATTCAGAATAAAACAAAGGAAAAGAATTTGCATAGAATAACACCTTAGCTGTTTGCCGCCTGTTGTTCTACGAGATTTGAGGTAAACAAATATCGAATTTGATAGCATCAAAATGGAAATTTTAGTAAAAAAGCCAGCTATCAATACAAAAACTGTATTACATTGCATTTTGTCCACTCTATCTGATTGCAATCAAAGCATTCAGAACGAAAGTTCAAAAATAACAGAATTTAGATTAGGTAAAAACCATGGTTTAGATTCTGGCAATTTTTCAAGCAAACATCGAAGGAATCCGAATAAAAATATTACTGCTGGAAAGAGGAAGCAATTCTACATAAAACACTTCCTAAAGTGTTTGTCTATCTTTGTTCTGAACTAGCTGCTATGTGCGGCTTCGCCAGCATCGTGAGCCTTACTGACTTGATAAGGAGCAAGTTCGGTGAGCGACTTCAGAAGCTCACCTTACCTGCGATCTTTCTTCTGTTACTCATGTACATAAAAGGACACCTACTGACCGCATTGCAAAGAATCACCGCATGCACGTCATGGTGAGATGAAAATGAGTTTTACCGCTATTGTTTACGTGAAAGTGGGTGGTGTTTTGATAGTAGCTGATAACACTTCATTTTTCTTCAGAATCGATAAATCAATAGAAGGAATGGGCATCTCGCCGCGAAAAGTAGTAGCCTACGGGGAGGGCCGGTATCGAAAACATATGTGTGCAAAGTTTGCCGCTGATCGGCCCTTACACAAAAGTTTCCATAATGGACACACTAACTAACAATTTACCAACTTTGAGCTTTATATATGTACTAGCTGGTATGTCCGGCTTTGCACGCACCGTGGGTTTAAGGTGCTCAACAAAAAACAAGATTGCGCATTATCAAAGACTTAACTTACAGCGTTCTGGCGTTCTTCTCTTCTTCGTATAACACAGGCAGATATCTCTTAATCGCTTCCTTGTATTACCGCATTTCCCTTGTCTTGGAATGAAAATGAGTTCTACCGCTGTTGTTCACACGAAAGTTGGAAATGCTTGATAGTTATTGATAACGTTCATTTTTCTTCAAAATCGATAGATGATTTGAGGATAGTCTAAAAAA